ATTTCATAAAGAAGAAAAATTTGATTCATTAGAAAAGAAAATTTTGTTTTATCTATATTCTTAGGGGCATTATTTAAAAAACAAATGAGAGATGAAAGCGAAAGATAATACATATATAAAAATGTCATTTTCATATAATTATATATAGCATATTAAAGAAGCAAGACAATCTATAGTCATTTTGAAACTGATAATCTCGGTCACGCTCATTGTTTGCTGTTGAGTATCAAGAATCTCACCCTTTTCCAACTGCAGTGTGTTGCAGCAGCTTCATTTAATCACAGAGCCTTGAAGCAGCTTCTTTCTGCCAATCCTTGCAGCCGCATTGCTGCTTTCAGCTCCCTCTCTAACAGACAAATACATCTCAGCGTGCAGAAACTGCATCAAGGGAACACAGAAGGGAGAAAGTAAATTGTTCCTTCAAAGGGTCTGGCAGAACATAAAGCATACATCTAGAGATGTAGATATAGGCTCAAATTCCTTCTCATTACATTTTTTTCTGCTGTTGACCCTTATAAAGTATATACGCAAATATATTCTTAGCAAGTATTAATCATAAAAGGGAGAGGGGAAAATGCAAACCCTGAAATGGTGTTCTGCATTTAAATTGGTGCCTGCAAAACAGGAGATCATGCTAAATTAAAAAAAAAAAATCTCATTACCAGTAAGCCACCTGCTGAGATAGTGAGTTCTCTCAGAGACTACTGTGTCTTTTAATATTGAATTGTCTATTCTGGAGCAAAGAAGGGAGAGAAAAAAGGAGAAGAGGATCCTCGATTTCATTAGATTTTAAATTTCCCTCTGGAGATGCCTATCTATCTCCCTTGACAAGATCAGAGGCTTAGGGCATCACTTGGCTCCTTTCAAAGGCATAGGCAGAATATTTAGGAGATTCAAAGCCTAGAGACCCATGTAAGCCATGGAAGACTGTAAAAGGAGCAGGTACCCACATTTTTATGCTATTCATTCATAAGCTAAGAATTCCTGTATTTACACTGTTCATTCCTATGTTAAAATTTAAAAAAAAATACTCTACATAAAAAACTTTGATCGTGACTTTCTTGAATTGTTGTAGTTCCATTATGAGCACCATGTTATTTAGGTTCAAAAGCCATCTGAAGTTGCTAAATGGCAACAATTCAATTTGCAAAATCCAAAGAACTGTATAGCATGAAAATGAAAAATTCTACTATTTTATCTATCTTGAGAAGCCAGTGCAGTGGATGTGGATGCAATTCTCCACAGTCTAAAATACATTATCATTTGCATAGATTACAAATGACTGTAAAGTGGCTGAAAATGCCAACGATCTGAACTGGCAAACTTTTACACCCAACTTACAAAAGCCTTCAATAACTGCATACGGTGTAGAACAGAACAGTGCAAGACTCGCACACTCATTGATAATGTCGTTTACTGCCTTTCTATGGATAACCCCATGCATAGAACTTATTAAATTGTTGATTTACAGCAAAAGGAAGCTTCTTCATGGGCATTTTAGACTAAGCAGTAATAATACGAGTGGAGAGGTTTTGTACGTACATTTACTTTTTAAATGGGATTTTGTATTGCGTAATTTCTGTGATGTACATGAAAAAATAAGCCAGTTTTCTGGAATAATACTGTAGAGTACCTCTTTTTTTCGAATGAACATCATGTTTTCAAACGCATCTGAAAACACAGTAAGGAAGTAACCTGATTTTATACAGAATTATCTAAATGTAGACAGGGAAGGTCTTACATGCAAACACTCCACATAGTATCTTCTGCTTAATCTACACTTTTGCTATAGCAGATGGGAATTTGGCCACTGAATTAGGTGAAAAAATATTATGATACATGAGAAGTCTTATTTAAATGTACTTTTTTAAAAAAAAAAAAAATTCAATCCGTAATTTTTGCTTTCTGAGGGTAAGCAAATGTTCAGCACCTTTTAGCAAAGAATGACCGCCAACGATGTAGAAAGTTATGTCATGTCTAAGTGACAGTCATCCAGAAGAACTAACCCTAAGATAGTTTTCAGCCAGCTGCTGGAGATATTTCTACCTCGATAGCTGTGGAAGAAAAAAATGGCAGCAAACTCGAACTAAGACACCAAGCAAATACCTGGGTTTAGAGTCAAAGCAGAGCTCTGCACTCCCATAGCTACTCTGCTGCCACTAGAAGAGTTATGAAGATGAGATGAAGTCATGCAGTAACTACAATATGGACACAGTCAAAATAGGTCACACAGAATTAATGTTGCACTGTGATGGTAAAAGACAAACTTATAAAGAACTGAACAAGAGACCGAAAATATGCGGGGGAAATGTGGTTAAAACTTAGAAGCAGATGTTACAGCACTCTAGCTTTCATTATGCTAGAGATGATTATTAATGATCTGGCAGACCAAGCAAGCAATGAGGTAGGAAAATATGAAGATGACAGAAAATATTTTAAATTAATCAGAATGAAGAAAACATGAATCTCGGAGATGCCCAGTGAAGTGTATCACCTCCTAACTGTTTGTTTTTGCTAACCCTGGAATAAACCTAAATTTTTAGCATTTTCAGGCTGCATTTTTGCACATCTAGAAAATCAAAACATGAACCGCAGAAGAGAGGTGCACTGGGAAATAAAAAAAAAAAAAAAAAAATAAAAAAAAACCACACAACCAAAAAACCATAAAACTATAAAATTATTGCCTTACACACAGAAAGTATTTCTGGATGCAAGATTGGTGACTTGTGCCTATATCACAAAAAGATAACTTATGAATTCAATTATCAACATTAGTAAACTGAAAATACTGTCCCTTCCTGTACATTTGTACACATCACATTGTTTTATAATTGAATTCTTTAGGCATTTCAATAATAATCCAAGAATTATTTCCATGTATCACATATTACTCAATCTTCATGCTTTTATCTTTTTTTTCTGAAATAATGACTAGTCAGTTAAAAACGGCCATGGTGAAATTTACTCTTTTTTTTATATATGCCATTGTTTGCCTTCCTTTCACCTTCTTGCTGCATCCATCTGCTTTCTCTAGTGTTGTGTTTAGGACATGCTAAATATACTTAATTTATGTAAACAGTAAGCGACAGAACTTGCCATGCATGAAAGTAAACATTGATGTGTGTCTTTGCCTCAGAAGGGGCCTGCAATTACTGATATGCTGTGCAGTGTCTAGTGAAGGAGCCCTGATATTTTATCCTTATCTCAACAGCAGCTACTACAATGACAGGAGGAACAGAAAGGGCAGGGCAGCATCAGTCGGGTTTTATACTGCAGGGCAAGATCAGTGGAATTTTACATTAAAGGGCTGAACAATGTTACAAAGCTAAACTTTCTAACATTCACTTTCATGATAGTACAAGAAGCTTGTGGACAGGAGCCACAGTGGAAGTGTGGAAGATGATACCTACAAATATGTGTGACAGCACAGGCGGCTCCACGCACCGAACACCAGCGCCATCACCTCCTACCCAAAAGGAGATCGTGGCCAGATGGGGGTCGGCCTCTTCTCTCAGGCAACTAGGGTAAGAGGATCCAGCCTTAAGCTGCGCCAGGGGAGGTTTAGGTTATAAGGAAGAAATTCTTCACAGAAAGGGTGATTAGGCATTGGAATGGGCTGCCCAGGGAGGTGGTGGAGTCACTGCCCCTGGAAGTGTTTAAGGAAAGACTGGACGTGGCACATGGTGCCATAGTCTATCTGGCATGGTGGTGTTGGGTCGCAGGTTGGATTCGATGATCCCGGAGGTCTTTTCCAACCTGACTGATTCGGTGATTCTGTGAACACCCCGCGCCGCCCGCCCTGCCGGAGCGAAGGAGCCGCGGGTGAAGCGCTGCCCGCCGGGCACCGCACGGGGAGCGGCGCCTGGGCGGCCGCGGGGGGCAGCCCCGACCCCCGCAGGGGCTCCAGCCCCCTCTGCCCGCACTTCCCGCGGGTTCCCGGGGCCCCCGTTCCCCCCCGCCCCGGGGGCTTCCCCCGTCCCTGCCTCCCTCCCGCCGCGCTCCCTCAGCGCCGCTCCCGCCGCGCGCATGCTCGGGCGCGCGGGGCGGCGCGCGGGGCGGCGGTCCTGCAGTGCGGGGCGGCGGCGGGCGGCGCGCGGGGCGGGGCGGGGGCGCGCATCGGGAGCTGCGGCGCGAGCGGCGGCGGGCGCGCACCCACAGGCGGCGCCGCGAGTCCCTCCGGCCCCAGCACCGCGGCGGGACCCCGCGGGCAGCGCCCTCCCTCCGCACCGCCCGACACCCCGCGCCCGCTGTAAGTGCGGGGAGACCGGCCGGGGAGGGGCGGCAGGGTTGCGGGGCGGGGGGTGGGGTGTGTGTGGGGGATCCGGGCTCCGCAACCGCCCGCGCTGCCGGGGTGCCGGTGGCGGGTCGGGGTGCCCTGCGCAGGGTTGCTCCTCCCGGGGAGACCGCGCGGCTTCAGCGCTCCTCAAGCTGCTCTCGGGGATCATCCTCGCCGGGAAACTTGGTCCGGTGCTCGTGTGCTCCGTGTGCGGGAGTTGTTGTTCCAGTGGCGAGATGGAGGGAAATCGCACCCGCGGCGATTTTCGCCGCGAACACGTTGAGAGAGAAGGGACCGAATCTCGCAGCGATCCGGATATAAACATCGACAGCATCAAAAGGGACAGCTGAGCTGTCGCGTAACAGTCTGCACTTGGAAACGCTTTGCTGGAAGTGGGAGTCTTTGGCGTTCGTGTTGGTTTGAAAAGCGATAGCGAAAAAGGGCGTGATTTTTATTTTCTTTTTTTCTGGTAGGGAAATAAAAAGAAAAAGGGGAGAAAAAGATTGTGCGAATCCAAGCGCCAGAGCAGCCCTCGCAAGGTCATCACACCACGGGAAGTGCTCCCGATCCGTGCGATCGCTCTGTCGCTTTTCTTACTGCCTGTAAGGGGTGTTTTTATTTTGTCATTTAATATATTTAACACGCGAGGTGTCTGCAGGTGGGCGCGGGGTAGGTGCGGGGCGGAGGTGCCGCGCTCCTGATATTTACTAGGGCATCAGTCGGAGTGAAGATGGAGGTGGGAGGAGATAACAAAAGCGGGTGTGCGATCCCGGGCATCTCCGACACGAAGGCGTGAGAAGGAGGAGGGAAAGGAGACGGCAGGAGAGAGAATTTCATTTCCAAAGATCAAAACAAAAGGAGGAGCAGGTTGAGGCAGATCGCGAGCAGCCGGGGCGGAAAGCGAGGGAGGCGTTTTCACCGCTGACCGGAGCGGAGAGGAGTGCGGGGGCTCTGCGGGGGCCGGGATGTGCGCGGCCGCGGAGGGAGGGAACTCGGGCGGGGGCTGCCCGGCCGGCGCAACTTTGCGCGCTAGCGTCTCTTGGAGATGAGCTGGTCGCTCCTAACGAGACGCCCTGTGTGTAGGAGGCGAGGGGAGGAACGCCTGCCCGATCCTTCGAGGGCTTCTACTCCCTCCTCTTCCAGCCCCCGCCGGGAAGGGCCGGATCCCGACGGCGCGGTACGGGGGGAGTGCGGTGGGGACGCTGTCCTAGCGCCCGGGGTGCCGCGCCGGGACACGGGGGCGCTGCGGTCTCCCCACTGCCGGCTCCAGAAGGGCCTGCTGGAAGGGACCCCCGGCACTGCCACTCTCCTCGACAGCTGGGTCCCCGCGCACTGCGAGTTCCGTCGTGCCCCGCCGCTCGCTGCTCTCCGCAGGGCTGCCCGTGCCGCCGGCTCTCCCTGTACTAGGCTTCCCCCGCCGGCCCGGGGGTGTCCCCACCCCTCCGAGTCCCCCGCTATCCCCACTGCCCCCAACAGGGAACGCCCCCCTCCTCCCAACCCTCGTCCCCTCCCTGCATGAATCCACCTGCAAGGTTCCCCCGACCCCAACTCTCCATCCTGTCTTCAGTGCCATGAGCCTTTCCTCTGATGGTTGTTTCCCTGTCCCGGCCCCTCCTTGACTTCCCCCCCGCCCAGGGTGGCTGGTCGGGCCTCCGGCGTGCGGATAAACCGTCGGAGATTGGGAGGGGAGCGGGAGGGGGAAACTGATCTTACGCACTTCAGACTCCCCTCTTTCCCGCCCCAGGAGGAGCCTGTTAGGGGCTGTTCGATGGTGGGACAGGGTTCTCCGCCTTTCACGGGCCGGGCGGGGGCAGCTCGAGCCGGGCCGTGCGGAGCTCCCGCGCTGCGGAGGTACCTCGTTCCAAAATCCCGCATCGCCCGGAGCGGTGCAGCAAGGCCGGGGAAAGGAGAGGGGTTACCTGTACCGCCAGGCTTTTCGGCTGACAAGGAAACCTGCAGATAACAGGGTGATGGAAACAGCAACCTTTTTCATTAAAATTGATAGGTAATTACTTGGACATTAGAGGCTTGACCAATTACCAAAAGGCCAAATATATGAATAAATTCCGTGTTCTTGTACAGAAGATGTTAATGTAACAGATGGCTTTAAGAGATACCTGTACGTCTCCAAGCAATTCTGATGGCAAAATATTTTTAGCAATATTTTGTTACCAGTGTGTTTCTGGATAGGCATTTTCTTTCTTCATACATTGGAAAGTTCATATCTCAGAGGTATCACCACCTCTTTATGCAGAATAAAAAGATGTACCTATTTTACAACTGGAATATGATATGGAACAGATTAACCACAGAGAAAAATAAGTATGAGGAAGCTCAGTCTTTGTAAAATACATAATCACTGGCCCTTTCAGAATACAAGCTTACTAGTATTAGTTTCTGTGACACATTTTCAGAGTCATTAGTTTTCACTACTACCCTATTGCTTGAGAGAATTCCTTTCCTTTTTAAAGAACATAGTTCATTTAAGAACATCAGTTTACTTGAGAGATCTTCCACTATGGTGTTCAAACAGCACAATCCATTTCAGGTTTGTGGACTGCGATCAATTCTAATTAAAACTTTAATTACGTTTTGCTCCATTCTAACAAAGCAAGAAGTAGTCTGGGCTAATGTTGATGTCAAGGAAAACTAAGGAAATATGTTCTTCATCTTCGTTATGTATTATTTCTGCCTTTTCATTAAGGACTGAATCCTTATCTTGTTATTTATCCACAAACTTTTATGACACAGAGCTGCAATATTTAATCAGTTTTCTCAGTTGCCCAGTCTTCTTGACCCATGCAAAGGTATACCTGCACACAGAATTACACCACTGATTTTTCAACATGTTTCTTGTCCTGGAATATCCAGCTATTGCCAGCACATCAGCTGTTCTGTCAAGCGACATCTAATTGGGAGTATCACAGTGTTATGTAACTCACAACCACAGAACAAAGCCAGAGATGTCTCCACTGCTGTGGCTCCCGCACCATAGCACCAACCAGAAGGAATATTATTCTCTGCCCAGAATGATAAGGTGAAACCTAGCCAGGATGTGGTGGGTGAGGGTAGGGCAGAGCAGAGAGAAGGAATCAGGCTGGCTGGGCAGGATAGAAGCAGTGAAATGAATCTGGCTTTGGTGCTGTTTGGAAAAGGCATTGCATGTGTCCCGGGGTGTGACATCCTGCTGACTGCAGCATGTCTGGGGCACGGGGGATCCCAGCATGCCTGCAGCACAGTCCTGCTCGAGGGCTGCAGCACCGTGCTGCTGCATCTCCATTTCTGCTCTTTTCAGTGTGTTGGGATAGTAGAGGCCTCTTGACTTTTCTTTCCACCTATACACTCAGTATAGCTGTAGGAGGGATCTAAATCCAAGAACAGAGATTCCTTTTAACATGAGTATAATGGACTTTGTTGTAGATGATTCCAAAATTGTTTACATTTCAAGCTGTTGTTCTGGTTCTGTTTTTCAATTTTGGAATTCTAATGTTATGTCTTCATTATGCATTCCTAAGGGATTTTATGTATTATATCTGTGCCTCACACTCCTATTTTATGTGTTAGTTTTGCAGATTCCCTTGGATTTCCAGAATTTTATGTCAATTTGTCAAATAGTGCTGGCTCATCTGCTAATTGTGAATCAAACAGCAATGTACACTAACTAAAGTCAGACTTAGAAAAATTAAAATATGGTAGGCAAATTTGTTCTTAAAGTACTTGAAATTGAAGCACGTAGCACTTACCCTGAGTAACTGTGCTTCTTGTCTGTGATGTTAAATGTTGTCCACACTGATCGTCATCCTTTTGTTTTTAATACATGTTGTTTTGTCAGTGTGGATTGGGGCTAAATATCCTTTGTCGTTAAAGTAGTCTGTAAAGAAGCTTGTCTCCAAGTGGTTTTGATTGCCCATGGATTTTGCACTTCATTTTAATTTTGTCTTTAGTAGAGAAAAGCAACCGTGTGATCTTCCTGCATTATTCTCGTGCCTAATTTTGACTCAGACTTCACTCTAATGAGCCTAGACCATTCATCTGTCCTCATTTTCTTGTGGGTCCCCCTTACCTGCATTTGCATACCTTTTGCCATTTTCACAATCCTTGACCTTTTTCCTTCTTCTTACGGTGTGTCGTTTTGTTTCTTTTTTCTCTGTGCGTCTTTAGATCACTTTCCTCCTCATCAATTATCCTCTTCACTGTTTGTTTCTGTATTGGGAAAGACCCTGAGTTACTCCACAGCTTCCCTACATGACACCGCTGAAAATGTTGTGTGATACAGGAATTCAGCACGAATAGGGGAGGCTCTGAGCATATGCAGTGCTGTGAGATGTAAGGATCCAGATGGGCTCCCATCGCAGGGCGGCGCTTTCTTACCTCAGCTCCAACCCTTGTCTTTTTTCATAGAGAGAATCTTATCTTTTGAATTTTACACTATTGTTCTGAGAGTAATAGCTATAAACCTTTTCAACGATAATGAAGCAGATGATAAAAAGGATACTTTTTCATGGAATACAAAATCTCAGGGTAGCGCTACAGATCCATATTACTTTGTAAGTTATAAATTGCTAAGAATACATACACATTTTTTTTCAATTTTATTTTTTTTAAACTATGTGGATGTTTTCCACAGGATCTCTGCTTTCAAAAGCTTTTCCACATTTCAATGTGAATGTGACTCAAAGGACAGTAATACACATGTAGGAAATTAAGGCAGATTATTAGAGATGGTCTCATAGCTTAAAGTTGTAAAAAGTAAGTAGTTTCAAGGAGGCAGTTGAAGGAGAGGAAAAGATAAAAATCATTTGATAGGCAATTTCACTGATGTGTTTATACAAATATCAAGCTGTTTTTCTTTGTGATTATTCCCCTGAGGAGGTTAAGGAACAGAATATGCTTTGTAAAATAACTTGTAAAACCACAGCTAATTGAAATAAACAGTGCTCATTGGGAGTGAAAGGACAACTGCATCTTTTGTTGATCTAAGCATGATGTATTCTGAAATTATGATATCAAAGACAAAGGAATAAGCATTACAGATGTTACTGAAGATTTTCTCCCTGAAGTAAACCCCATGAAGTCACATTTTCAATCTCAGACTGTAAGAATTTAACAGTGTATCCCAGTTTCGCTGTTTTGAAAAAGCAAGAGATTGCTACATTCTTGAGTTTGTCAACAACATATGAATTTTGAAGTAATGAGAAATGATAAGTCAAGGTGACCAAGTGTATCTTTTAAGATAATTATAATAAAATGTTTTTCTACTGGGAAGATAAAGAATTTTAGAATCATCATCACAAAGCCATTTGAGGAAGATTATCTACATAATCAGCATTATAAGGGACTGTACTGATGTACAGGAAGAAAACAAGCTGTGGTGATTTTTATACCTTTTACACTATTATATATGTATGAGATACTAAACTTTTTAGTTAAGATGAACCTTTAATCACGTTTGGCTTAAAGCAGATTTAATCTTATATAATCAATGATTTCAGAAAAACGTAATTGTTTTTATTCAACACTACTAAATACCAGAAAGAATAATTTTACCTATTTCTTGTTCACTAAGTTAGGCTTTCTCAAAGTTCATTTATGAAAAGATGCAAAAACTGACATCCATAATCATAAGATTTATAAGTGGCATTGGATTTTTTTTTGTCCTGTCAAGGTACTTTCATACCATAGTTAGACATAAGATATAGTATCACTTTAACTCCCAGTGAGTTGAATCAACCAGTATAATAACAACCAATGGGATTACCTTGGTTGTCTAGCCTTTGACTGTACAAGTTGAAAAGTATATTCAGAAAAAAAACAAGCTGTGACATTAATTTACAGAGCTTTTAGACTAATAAATATAAGGCTCTAAA